GCTGGAGTGCAATGGCGCGATCTCGGCTCACCGCAACCTCCGCCTCCCGGGTTCAGGCAATTCTCCTGCCCCAGCCTCCTCCACAAGGTCTTACTCTGTTGCCTTGGCTGGAGTGCAGTGGCACAATCACAGCTCACTGTAGCCTCAACCTCCTGGGCTGTGGTGATCCTTCCACCTCAGCTTCCTAAGTAGCTGGAACCACAGACACACACCATCATGCCAAGTTAATTTTTATACTTTTTGTAGAGATGAAGTTTCCTCGTGTTGCTCAGATTGGTCTCGAACTTCTGGGTTCAAACGATCCTCCCACTTTGGCCTCCCAAAGTGCTGGGATTATGGGCATGAGCCACCACGGCTGGCCCTAGTTTACAGTCTTATTAACTGTTTGTGACTGTTTGGTTGCTTCACATTTTGAACAGCACTTTGTATTGTCAGTGTTCTTAATTTTGCCATTCCAGTGGTATGTAGTTGTATCTTATTTTGATTTGTATTATTTACCTTTGACTTAATTCTTAGTTTGAATAGTAAAACATTTACTAGTTCCAAAGACAAAATTTGCTTAAAAAGTATATGTAGTGACCTATCAAACTTTAACTTTCCTACTATTGAAGGTGTGGTTTAGATGACTGGAGAATCTATTAAGCACCTACTGTGTGCCAGGCACTGTATTAGGGCCTGGGTCATGAGCAGACACGGAGACAGCCTCTACCTTCACAGAGTTTACGTGTTAGTTACAGGAGATAGACATTAGTCACATAACCTCACAGATAAATGTAACATCGCCACTGCTTTGTGCTGTGTAGGAAAGCTACAGAAGAATTTAAGGCTGCAGTTAATCTGGATGTCATCATGGTTCCCCCTTCCCCAGAAAGACTTTCTGCTTATGTGCTTCCTAATAACTTGTTGCAAAATCCTTGTGCTGAAATGTTGTAATTCCAGGACATGTAGCAACAGGCCAGACCCTGGGAAAGTAACCAGCACCCCACTCCAGATCTCAGGTCTTCTTGGAAAGCTCTGATAGCCTTCACTTGATCACCTGGCCTTAGATGAAGAAGTCTTATGGACTTGTTCCTTATAGAACCCTGATTGAAACATGCATTCAGTGTCTTTAAAAATATACTGGTAACACATGGTTTACATTTAATTGTTTTTTTTTTCTTTCTTTTTCTGAGACAGGGGCTGGCTCTGTTGCCTAGGCTGGAGTACAGCAGTGCAGTCACGGCTCATTGTAGCCTTGAATTCCTGGGCTCACGTGATCATTCACTTCAGCCTCCTGAGTTGCTGGGACCACAGGCATGTGTCATGACACCCAGCTAGTTTTTAAATTTTTTGTAGAGATGGGATTTTCCTTTGTTTCCCAGGCTGGTCTCGAACTTCTGGGCTCAAGCGAAACTCCCGCGTTGGCCTCTCTAGGTGTTGGAATTAAATGTGTGAGCCACTGCACCAGCCTACATTTAGTTTGTTGAAAGCCATTTTAAATTTTGTTTTTGACATTGTGATATTGAACTGGATTTGACGAGTTTCCTCACGATTAAAGCATATCAGTGCGCGTGTTAACAGTGTGGTGTGTTTTGTTTTTGTTTTGTTTTATATCTTGTAGGTTTGGTGGAGAGTTTTGTTTTCTTTTGTTCCCCATGAGACAGCTCACAGTTTTTAAATTTGAAACTTTGGATCCTGTTTTAATTTCCTGTGGGTTACCCTGATCTAATATAAAACAATAGTGGTCTTCAGGATGAGGTTGACTATTAAGTATTAGACTCTTAGAAAGTTTGATTGTATGGTGTTCTTGTTATGATAAATGAATTCTTGTTATACTAAATGTAGTTAATACCAGCTCTATATAGTGGCTCAGGTAAGATTTAGTTTCAGTCTGCTGTTGTCAAATTGGAAACTTACTAACACTGATGTCCTATCTGCAATTTTTATATGCAGTTAGACCGAGTCTGAAACATAATAGCAACCATTGATGATGCACCTATATGGAATTCTACAGAGAATATTTTTAGTAATTCCATACTTTCCTAATACTGTAATTGAGTTTTCATGTTTCAAAGCTTACTCCACTTTTTAGGAAGATGAATTGTGTTCTTTCAAGGTATGCAGGATAGTAAATTATTATGGTAGTTTTGGTGGCATATTTTTTTTCCCTGCCTGATTGCTATCCTTTATGACTTGTGGAAATTGCAAGGGAATTATTATGTACATATTGTGGCATGTAGATTCCAAGAATGAAATTCTAGGGTAATCAATTCCGTTTTTTATTCTGTCAGTCACGGTCCTGGCAGAAGAACAGATGGCAGACTCAAAAAGAAGAAATCGAGGCGAGGACAGCTTCTCAGTGGTAGGCAGGGATGCAAGAAGCCAGCAAAGCAGGGGTGCACTTACTCCCCCTGGATGAGGATGACAGGCTACACCAGGGAACTTCCATCCCTCCAGGATCTGAAGGGGTGAAGGAGAAGAGCAGATAAAGATGCCAGAGGGGAAAGTAGCTGGATTTATGGGTGCTTCGTGGGAGTCATGGTCCTTAATAGCAGGGTGCAGCTCCCTCACTGCAGCCCAGCAGGAAGGGAGTTGGGGGATAACTTTCCTGTCCTCATTCTCCCCCTGCCCTTGCTTCTTGCACTGATGCCTCCCTTTGGTGGAGCCTGATGGAAGTCCATGGTAAGGGAGCCTGCAGATGCGTCCATAAATGTCAGTCTCCTAGGGCTAGGAGCAGTCAGGAGGAGGCTAAAGAGGTGCTCTGCAGGGCAGGTGGAATATATCCAGCACACATACACAATACAGGGTGGCGAGACCAACAGCTGTTGCAGCAGTTCCCATGTGCTTTGAGTATCTAGTAGATTTGTATGCTTATGCCGGGTACACACAAGATGAATGAGGCTTTTGGTGGCCAAGTAGATCGTGATGGGAGATTTTTTTGGTTTGTTGGTTGGTTTAATATCTAAGGATCTTTCTTTAATTAGAAAGCCTAAACAGAACCCCAAACTCTTCTCAGCTGTATTCTGATGGTCTTTATTTCTATTTTTTTGAGACAGAGTCTTACTCTTTTGCCAGGCTGGAGTGCAGTGGCATGATCTTGGCTCACTGCAACCTCCGCCTCTTGGATTCAAGTGATTCTCCTGCCTCAGCCTCCCGAGTAGCTGAGACTACAGGTACACGCCACCACACCTGGCTAATTTTTGTGTTTTTAATAGAGATGGGGTTTCACCATGTTGGCCAGGATGGTCTCAATCTCCTGACCCCGTGATCTGCCTGCCTCGGCCTTCCAAAGTGCTGGGATTACAGGCATGAGCCACTGCGCCTCGCCGGTAGTCTTTATTTAGAAGCACTTGATTGTTCCTTTCCCATTATTGCAAGAGGGTACAGAATCAGAAGAGATCCCTCCCAAAGTTAAGAGCCTCCCTTCCTCACAGGGCCTCTTTTGGGCATGAAGAGGACAGAGCTGGCCTTTCTGAGCAGTGAGTCTCTTGGCAGCCTCTCTGAGCCAGGTGATTCTTGGGTGCTACCATTCAGATTGACTCAGGCTTCAATGATCAGAGTGAACTCTTTAAAAAAAAAATCAACACATCAACACCTTGTAAGAAAGCGGCTCGCTGTTCAAGAATACAGCAAGCCGTGAGTTGTCCTTAGGACTGCCGCGTGGGGAAAGACAGTCCTGCTGAAATAGACGTACTATTTTGTTGTTGCTTTGGGGAACCGCTGCACAGCTGGAAAACTCAAAGTACTTTCCTTTCTGTTGCCTTAAAAGGTTGATAACAGTGCCTTCTGTGCACTTACAAGCTTCCTTATGTACTTAGAAGGAGGTAACTTCCCAGAAATGTAAGTTATGATCTCACTGGGGTATATGGACCCCACAGGCCATGTAGACCCTATCCAGAGTGGAGTGTAATTTACGGCTCTGTGTGTTTTGCCAAACAAATCCAGTGTAGATAATTCCAGAAGAATGACATTGGGCTCTAGCTTGCTCATATTCATTTTGGAACATGCCCATCAAACCAAAGTTCTTCCTCTGCTTATTCCCTTTAAACGTTTCTAAAGTAGCACACACTTTGAAGAACCTTCTTCTTGCCAAGTGAATTCAGAAACCTTGGCTTCCGCTTGCTGGGGAGCTTGTACGCACAGGCACAGATGTTCACGAGTTTCCCCCTCTTTGGGATTCTGTGTGTTTTGGTACAGCCCTTTGTCCAGCTGTGGGAACCCTCTGAACCATCCAACCTATTTGAAAATATTTCTAGGGGGCTGGATTTTCTCATGGGGACAACCACAAAGACCCAGATTTGAAGCCTGGCCTCTACCTCTTGCTGGTTGTGATCCAGGGAAAGCCCATGACCTCTTTTCCTTCCCCTTCCCCTTCCCCTTCCCTTTTTTTTTTGAGATGGAGTGTCGCTCTTGTCACCCAATCTGGAGTGCAATGATGCAATCTCGGCTCACTGAAGCCTCTGCCTCCCGGGTTCAAGCGATTCTCCTGCCTCAGCCTCCCGAGTAGCTGGAATTACAGGCACCCACTACCATACCTGGCCGATTTTTCGTATTTTTAGTAGAGACAGGGTTTTGCAATGTTGGGCAGACTGGTCTTGAACAGTGACCTGACCTCAGGTGATCCACCCTCCTCAGCCTTCCAAAGTGCTAGGATTACAGGTGTTAGCCACTGTGCCTGACTGAGCCTGTGTCCTTTCAGAGACCATTTTTTTTGTGGCTATACATGGCTTTAATAATGTCAAATTCCGTCACTGAGTTGTTTAGGGCCACCTGAGATATTTGATCACGCTTTGAAATTTGCTGAACAAACAGAAAGGTGATGTTTTTTTCTGCATATATGTCACATCCAGCATAAAAAGTTGTAATAAAGACAGTAGTAACTTTGACTTTCATTTTTAGCTGAAATGAATAGTTTAAAAAAATGTGTGTGTGCATACACAGTATTAGAAAGCATTTTTGTGACACTCCTGTTCAAGGATGTACATTGTGGTGCAATTGGATCATCCAAAACCATTCATGATTTGACTTGGAAGTGATACGGTTTTCACTGCAGCTATGCAGTGGTGTTTACCAGTTCCGGAATCAAACTGTCTGCGTTTCACCTTAGACCAAATTCGTTAACTTGTCTGAACCTTATTTTCTGATATGGTTTGGCTCTGTGACCCTACCCAAATCTCATTTTGAATTGTAGCTCCCATAATTCCCATGTGTTGTGGGAGGGACGACGGGGGGAGGTAATTGAATCGTGGGGATGGGTGTTTCCCATGTTGTTCTCATGATAGTGAATAGGTCTCCTGAGAGCTGATGGTTTTATAAAGGGGTGTTTCCCTACGCAAGCTCTCTCATTCTCTCTTGTTTGCTGCCATGTAAGATGTGCCTTTTGCCTTCTGTCAGGATTGTGAGGCCTCCCCAGCCACATGGAATTGGAAGTACATTAAACCCCCTTTTTTAAAAAAATAAATTACCCAGTGTTGGGTATGTCTTTGTCAGCAGCATGAGAATGAACTAATACCCTTTGCTTATTTATAGAATCATAACATATACTATTTCTCTTGTAGGTTTGTTGGGAGAGTAAAGTGAAATAATGTACGTGAAAATGTTTGAGCTGGTGCTTGGCCCGTGGTCAGTTCTAAATTAATATCAATGGTTACTACTGCTGCTGTTGCTGCCACTGTCACTGCTAGTAAAGAAGTTTGTGTTACTCTAAGTTCCAAGCTGGACAGACACTTAGGCCAGGTGACTCAGCAGTCTACTGAGTGAGTTAAAAATTTCTTATGTACTAAATCTTCATGAACAATCAAAAGGTGGCTGTTTTTGGAAATCTTACTCCATAATTGAAGCTTGGTCTGAGAGTGTGTTTGGGAGGTATCCCTGTGTGTTCCTGGGTAACGCATTGAGCTTCTCTGTCTCTCTCCTCCCCCAGGGAGATTGGTATAGTGCTCTAGAGTCATTCCTGAGGCCCAGCTCAGGACTCCTGACATGGTGGCCAGAGGGCATTTCTGCATTGTCAGGTGAGATGCACTGTGTAAAGTGTTTGTTAAGCCCAGGATCTTTTCCCCTATGCTTCCTAATCAAGTAACTCTCAACCCCTGGCGGAGTTTCTCTCCCACTGCCCTCTCGTTGGCTGTCACGTCGCCCTGTGTGATTGCCAGTTATTAATCAACTGGACGAGCCTCGGGTTGTCTGTCATGAGGACCATCCTTTGTGTTCTGTGGCCCAGGTTGCAGTGAGTTCTCAGGTGAGCTGAGAAGGCGTTAGAAACAGGGGTGCTATCCCAGGTGCCCCTGTGGCCCTATATGAATCTTCTAGGTCACTCTACTATCTGAGGTGAATTAGTGACTGGGGTTCAGGTTTTTCTTTTGTTTATTTTTGAGACAGGTTCTCACTCTGTCACCCAGGCCTTAGTGCAGTGGCACCGTCATGGCTCACTGCGGCCTTGACCTCCGTGGGCTCAGGTGATCCTCCCGTCTCAGCCTCGCGAGTAGCTGGGACTACAGGCATGCACCACCAGGCCTGGCTAATTTTTTGTACTTTTTTAGAGACGGGGTTTCACCCTGTTGCCCAGGCAGGTCTTGAACTCCTGGGCTCAAGGGATCCTTCCACCTTGGCTTCCCAAAGTGTTGGGATTACAGGCGTGAGCCACTGTGCCTGGCCTGGGGTTTAGTTTCGATAGCAGAACTCAGCAGTTTCTGAGGGAGACATACACCTGCTGAGGTCAGCAGCCATTTGTGAGGAGCAGGAGATGCTGGGATAGAGAAAGTTATAATACTGGAGTTGAGCAATTTACCTTTTAAATTCTCCACCATAGGCCTCTGAGAGATGACGGCAGGTCTCTGGGGCAGGAGCCCGGCCTGCTGAGCCCTGGCTCTCTGTGCAGCTGTGGGGACAGGTAGCTCAGGCATCACTGCCTTTTCCACGTGGTTGCTGCCGCTGTTCCCAGGGGCCAGGTCAGTTAGCCTTTCTGGGTGGATTCTGTTTCCTTAATTTTTTCCTCCATCCCCTGCCCGTGAATCACAGTGCTTAGTTATCCTCCGCCTCCAACCCCTGTTCGGCCTCCCTGACCCTCTGTTCCTGCTGGAGCCCTGGTGTAGCAGCCTCTTACCTGTAGTTTGTCCTGGTGCCCCTGTCCTCTCCCTGGCAACCTTGGCACATCGGTCGCAGGGCGTTTTGTCCGTATCTTGACCGGTGCTGACAAGAACGCTGAAGGAATTGATAACACTGACAATGTTATTTGGTCCCTGCAGCCTCTCACGTGGGTCGGGGATGGTTTCGGATTTATTTTTGGAGCCCGGTGCTGCCACATCAGGGTGCAGTCTGTGTCAGACACCCTTTGTTGAAAGGGGTCTCCTTCGTGGTTGGAGTACTTGTGCTCGAGTGGAGAGGCACTGTAGAGGCAGTGTCTCCTTAAAAGTGGATGAGTCGGTCGGCTTGATGCTGTGGCTAAAAGCTGGGCTCACGACCCAGAAACTCCCAGGAGGGATCCCTGTTGAAAATTAGGGAGAGTGGGTGACTGGTGATCTCGTGGCCAATGGCCACTCCACAAGAACAAACGCCAAACAGCCCAGTGTCGGGGGTGGGGGGGAGGGAGGGAGGGGAGGGCTCATGATTATTTATTTAAAAAAATGGAAACTGTGAAGCTCTCTGGCTTAGTGCACACACCCTGTAACTGTTACCTGGCCAGGTACTTTCAACAACTTTCAGTTATGGAAATGTGATCAGATCGTATGTGCCAATTTGATAAGATCACATTGGCACATTTAAAAATAGATGAGTAACTATGGACAACCAAAAGATAAAGTGGCGCTAGGTGGGCTAGTTGTAATCCAGCCAAGGGGGTCCGTGTGTCAGGCCCACGTTCCCATTATTGCCGTCCATAAAACATGACTGCGTTTGTTACGATGTGCAGTATGTGAATCACCTTAATGAAAGGGAGGTTCTGGAAGGAGTGCCCGTCCAGGTGCAGCTCGGAGTTAGAGCTGGCTGTCAGCTTCTGCTTTCCACTTCATTCAATATGCTTAGAAATTCTTTTACTAGGCCTTGAACTTTAAAAATGAATATTTACATATTTAAACACATTATTTATGTAAATGTGACAAGTGGTGAATTTTATTTCCCCTCATCTCTACTAGCACTGTCAGCTTGCCTTTTAAACTTTTTTTAAAAAAACGCATGAAGACACCTGGCGCCATGGCTCATGCCTGTAATCCTAGCACTTTGGGAGGCTGAGGCAGGCGGATCACGAGGTTGAGATCGAGACCATCCCGGCCAACATGGTGAAACCCCGTCTCTATTAAAAATACAAAAATGAGCTTGGCTGGTGGGTCATGCCCGTAATCCCAGCTACCCGGGAGGCTGAGGCAGGAGGAGGAGGTTGCAGTGAGCCGAAATTGCACCATTGCACTCCAGCCTGGCAACAGAGAGAGCCTCAAAAGAAAAAAAAAAAAAAAAAAAAAAAAAAGGCTTAAAGCGGGCAATTTAATGTATGTCTTTTACTTTACCATTTATCCTCTTTGTAATTCGTTTATACAATTTCGACTTTAACATTGTGGGTGTGATACAAACAACTGTTAGAAAAAAAGGAACATGCCCCCGTTCCAGACAAGCTGACACACTACATCACATTCCTATTTCCTATCAGGAGACAAAACCTTTCAAATGTGCATTTTTTTTAATAATAAAGTTATTACATAATAACTTAATGTTAGTTACTCTAGTTACTTTATGTTTTTCTGTAATAATTATTTAACTTTCATGTTAAACGTTAAAATCTATCCATGTGTACTTTGTATGCACACGTGAGCTTCTGGCTTCATGCCACATAATCTGTTGAGTTCATTTGAATAGTAGTTTGACTCTTTGAAGTGGCATAGCATGGCAGCTATTAGAAGTATATAAAACGATCTGCTTTTTAGCTTCCTGTGTGTTTTCTAAGTGTTTGAAGTTTTTTAAACACTTCTGTGCCTCTACCCTTTTTTAGCCAGCCTATGTCATACCATGAGGTTTCAGGTGAAGGAGAACAGTTAACCTTTATTTGCTAAAGGCCGTCCCAGGACAGAGTGGTAAAACTAATTTGAAAGAATCCCAAGATTTAGTTGGATAAAAACGATTTAGCTAGATAGTGATTTTAAAGATGCTACTTTTTTGGCCTTCTGACTTGGAGTATGAGGGGTGTGTTTCTGTTTCCTTTTCTTTATTAGAATTTACCGGTATCGAGTTTGACAATATTTCGAAGTCAATATATTTTGGATGTTTTCATGATCGTTTTATGATGGGTTGTTAGCGTGCTAGCTCTTGACTGCATTTGGCACTTGGGAAACAATAGTGTAGAGAGTACAAAAAATAACTCTTTTCAACCCAAACAAACGCTGAGTAGATCCGTCAGCCTCGGGAGGTGACACGCTGCAGATGTGTGCTTCCTGCAGCCTCCCCCCTGTGAAAATGACATTGATGTGGGGTGGTGGGAAGGAGGAAGAAGCAGGGCTCGATCAAAACAGTGAGTAACGGAACAGAGATTCCTGCAAAGCTGAAGCTTGGGGAAATGCTGCTTTTCTTTTGTAATTCCCACCCCCACACAACTCTGCCATAGCAGCTTTTTCCTAGAGATTAATTTGGTTTTAGGCAAATATGGGATTATTTTGGTTTTATTTAGGTGTTGATACTAGCAGATTATTGATTTTCCCATGTCCATTGAAACACACATAAGCACACACACATACTGTCCAACTTCTCTACTATAGATAAACATTTAAAAGAGTCCTTACCATTCTACCATGGGCCTAAGAGAATTCCTTCTCCACATGTTCTACCCATATTCTCTTTTGGATGGAGGGGCGTTCCAAGATATAAGAGGTGCATTTCTGAAAGACCTATGGGACATCAGAATCATCAAAGAGCTTAGGTGTCTGAATATCATATAAGTGACACATTAATAATAAATTTCCGTCTTTCCAGCTTTTAGAACACATCTGTAAAATAATAGCAAGACAGGTGGAGGAACAGAGTCCTTTTCATATCTGATGTTTAGAGGGCATGTTGGTGAGTTTGAAATACTCCGTGGCTGGGACTGTCAGGGACTCTGTATCCAGCTCCTGATGCCAAGAACCTGGCGCTGTCTGCAGGGTGCCGGAGCCTCACTTCCCTGCCTGTTGATGCCACTCCTAGGAACTAGGGATGTGCTGAGGCTCATGGGGCCAGGATCTCGAAAACAAAATTATAACTTCTCCTTTCCATCTTTTCTAATGCAAAAACCAAAAAAAACCCCACCCCCGCCTCCGCTATTAAAGAGCAAGGTTGGACATTTAAAACTGCAACTTTCTCTAACAGTTGTTACAGCAATCTTTTTTTTTTTTTTTTTAAATGTTAAACTGCTGGAGTAATTGTCTATTTTGTTATGGGAATAGACAATGAGGCATCCAGAAAAAATTTCTTTGTAATCAGCTTTGTTCTTTCTCCCTCTCTTCTTCCCTCTTATGTACTTGGCTGGTTCCTCAGGTTGTTTTCTTTTTAAACTTTTGAAGTTTAAAAATTTCCTCAATGTCTTTAGACTGTAAATGATAGAATTTTAGAAAATATGAAGGGCCTTTAGGAATCAATCACTTGCTAAACATTTTGATATAGAAGAGTGTGTGTGTGTGTGTGTGTGTGTGTGTGTGTGTACATTCATTTATATATTTATTTATATTTAACGCAGTGTCTTGCTCAGTCACCCAGGCTGGAGTACAGTGGCTTGATCATAGCTCACTGCAGCCTTGACCTCCCAGGCTCAAGCAGCCCTCCCTTCTCAGCCTCCTACCACACCCGGCCTTCCTTCCTTCTATATTTTGAAGCAGAGGCCAGGAAGTCATGGTGAATGACTTGGCCATGTTCTATTTGTTTTTCTGCTAGTACCACCTAACTTCTACTGTGACGTCCTTTGATAGAAAGGATAATTCAGTGGATTAACTGCCTTTCCCATGCCGAGTATGGTGTTAGGTACATTGTATACATCACCATCATCCCATTTAAGCCCAGCATGACTTTTGGAGAAGATGGTATTATGGCCAATATATAGATTAAGAGATGGTGAGTCTGAGAGGACAAGTAGTGTGTTCCCAGTAACTCAGCAGGTTAGCAGTGCAGACAAGAACCATACCAGTTGATCCCCTTGTTGGGAGCCACACGTGGGGATTCTTTCTGGAATGTTCTCTGGGAAAGTCCTGACATTGCCTGTGGCCCCTGATGGGCAAATAGGCATGGGTTAGTTTGTAGTATTTGTCTTTCATTATCTTGAAAGAGACACATGACCCTTGGAACTTGGACCTGATGCCGAGGTTTGGTGGGAAGGCCAGAGGAGATGTGTTGATAAGAACCCAGTTTCTAAGAGGCTGGGGGTGTTCCTGCAGGGATAACCCAGGTGGGAGCTGGAGGGGCTTTCTGAGCAGGGGCATGAGCCCTCAGGGCTGTGGGCCCCAGGAGGAGCTGGTGCACATGTGCATGTGTAAGTTTTTTTTTTTTTTTTTTTTTTTTTGAGACAGAGTCTCGCTCTGTCACCAGGCTGGAGTGCAATGGCATAATCTTGGTTCACTGCAACCTCTGCAATTCTCCTGCCTTAGCCTCCTGAGTAGCTGTGATTACAAAGGTGCGCACCACCACACTCAGCTAATTTTTGTATTTTTAGTAGAGATGGGGTTTCACCATATTGGCCCGAATGGTCTCGATCTCTTGACCTTGTGATCAGCCCGCCTCGGTTCCCAAAGTGCTGGGATTATAGGTGTGAGCCACTGTGCCCGGCCCAAACATTGGTTAATAAATTCCAGTGCATGTGGCAACTTAGCACAGCACGAGGAAACCCTGTTTTTCCTGCCACCTGAGCCACCACGCCTGACCCACATGTGAGTTTTAACCCCTTCCTCCCCCAGAGCTTGTCTTTCTCGGCCTCTGTGGTCTGGCAGCCTGTTGGCCAGCTTGTGTAATCCTTCATAATCGCTTCTTGTTTGTGTCCTCTAGAGGTTCCCCATGTTAGGGAGCCGGATCCTGGCTTTGTGTCACAGGGCCCTGCCCAACACCTGTACTGTTAGCGCTTCAAAGCACTGTTCAGGGACCTGCTTCAAAACCAGGCCCAAGGATCACCTTTCGTTAGGCCCAGGGAAGTTGGAATGGGTTTGTGACTCACAGAAGTCTGCGTTTTGGCCTGGTGGTGGTAGTGATGGGGGCTGAGGATGAGTTTTGTGGAAACTGGAGGAACCTGCAGGTTGGAGCCTATCAGCTCTTGCCCCAGCCTTCCTTCCTTCCCTCTTTCCCTCTTTCTCTCTCCTTCCCTCCTTCCTTCACCCCCTTCTCTCTTTCTCCCTGTCTCCCTCCTCCCTCTCCCTCTCCTTCCTTCTCTCTCACCCTTTCTCCCTCCCTCTCTTGTTACCTCTCTCCCTCCCTCTTTCTCCCTCTCTTTCTCCCCCCTTCTCTCCCTCCCTTTCTCTTTCTCTTTCTCTTTCCCCCTCTCTCTTTCTTCCTCCTTCTCTCTCTCCTTTTCTGTTTCCCACTCTCTCTCGTTCCCCCTCTGTCCAACCCTCTCTATTCCTCTGTTGTCCCTCCCTCTTTCCCACTCTCCTTTCTCCTTTAGGGGCAGCCAGACCGTGAGGAGTTGAGCCAAGCCAGGTCCAGAGTAGAGGAGGAGCCCGTCTTGGCTGGAGAAAGGCACTTTGTGCAGTGGGGGCAGAAATGCAGGGCCAGTGTGCAGGGGCCCCAGGGAACTAGCTGGACACTCTGAAATAAACCTAGGCCATTTCCAGGAGAGGCCCTCAAGCCTGCCAGATCCTGGGAGGCCGTGGGATATGCCGGACAGAATAACAGCTTGATGAGGAGACAACCCTAGGCCACCTCTCTATAAAACGGCAGGTGTCTTTTGGTGATGAGGGAGTGGACCACATCCGCTGTTTCCACTGGGAGAACAGTGGCCTCAGAGGCCCAGCCAGGGAGGCTCTTCTCTTTCTTTCCCTTTCCCTCCCCCCTCCCCTCTCCTCCCCTCCCCTCCCCTCCCCTGCTCTTCCCTCCCCTTTTTGACAGAGCCTTGCTGTGTTGCCCAGGCTGGAGTGCACTGGCATGATCTCAGTTCACTGCAACCTCTACCTCCTGGGTTCAAGTGATTCTTCTGCCTCAGCCTCCTGAGTAGCTGGGATTACAGGCGCCCACCACACCTGGCTAATTTTTGTATTTTTAGTAGAGACGGGGTTTCACCATATTGGTCAGGCATTTCTCAAACTCCTGATCTTGTAATCCGCCTGCCTCGGCCTCTCAAAGTGTTAGGATTACAGGTGTGAGCCACCACGCCCAGCCGCCCTCCCCTTACCTCCCTCTGCCCACTCCAGCTTTATTCTCTGAGTCAGGCTGTTGCCCTGTCCTGTCACGTGCAGTGTGAAGGGCAGGGCCGCTCCTCCTCAAGGAAGGAGGTGGCAGGTGGTAAGCCCCTTGGGGCAGTGACCTCCCTAGGAAGCCCTGGGCTGCCGTACTGGCCACAGCATCTCAGTGCATATAGACATGACTCAAAGCAAGTGGCTTTCTCAAAGTCCCATGTCCCTTTTGGCATGACGCCAGCGGCAGGCTTCGTGCTTTGTTCTATTTTGATCCTTCCATTTCCACCTCCAACTTAACACATCTGAGACAAAATGCTTCCTTTGGACCAAGGAAAGTGACATCAGAATATGGAAAACAAATAGTCATGTGCATTTTTTTTTAGATGAAATCGGGATAATTTCACAATTTGACAAGTACCTATTCCATCAGAGCAGGGACTGAATGGTTTGGAGCTCAGTGTCAAGGAAAGCTGACTATTTAATATTTTTTTACCATCATAATAACAAGAGCTAATTTTGTTTTTTGGAAATAGAGTTTCGCACTCTTGTTGCCCAGGCTGGAGTGCAGTGGCCTGGTCTCGGCTCACTACGTCCTCCACCTCCTAGGTTTAAGAGATTCTCCAGCGTCAGCCTCCCAAGTAGCTGGGATTACAGATGTGCACCACCACGCCTGGCTAATTTTGTATTTTCAGTAGAGATAGGGTTTTACCAGATTGGCCAGGCTGGTCTTGAACTCCTGACCTTCGGTGATCTGCCCACCTCAACCTTCCAGAGTGCTAGGATTACAGGCATAAGCCACTATGCCCGGTTCAAGAGCTGATATTTACTGAGCTGTTACTATGTGCCAAGCGAGCACAATATTATCTCATTTAATCCTCACAACGATCTTGTGAAGCAGGTATTACTAAGTCACTCCCATTTTATGGATGAAAAATTTGAAGCTCAGAGCAGTTAAGCATTTTTCCAAGTCCACACAGCTGGGAAATTGAAAGAAGACTTGGAACCAGGTCTTTCTGACTCCAACGTCCATGTCACCCCACAAATGGGTAGTACTGGCTTAGAACAGAAATGTGGCCATGTTGATAAACTGGGGAGGAGATAGAGACATGAGAAACCGTGTATTCTAATTCATCTATAATAACACATTTCCAAAGCATAGACCGATGTGCCTTGGGGATGATTTCATCTCAGCACCTAATTTATAGATGAGGAAACTAAGACCCAGAGGTGGGGACGTGAGCTGCATGTATTCAGTGATTTCTCCAGGCAGCGATGGTAGGTGCAGCCCAACCAGGCACGTGTCTTGCTATGGATGGGGCAACTTACTCCAGTCTGTGTTTGTAGCCTCCACTGGGGTCTTCCCTTCCTACTTTGGAGTACTTGACTTAGACCATCATCAACACTCCACCCATCCCACAGGACACAGCCTAAATCCCTTAGCCCTGAAAACCCCGTCTCTCATTTTTAAGGTTCCTAAAACTGGGAGTCATGAGCGTGAACCCTGGGTATGAGTGTTGGAGTTACAGGTCAGCGGGCAGTGA